AAATAAAACACGAGGCCGTAGTGTGCACCCATCGCGCATCCTCAGTTCCCCTCCGCGTCAGTTCCAATCTAATTTTGGTGGACCTTACAAAATCATCCCTTTGCAGCCGCGGAATCGGGTCAGAACAGAAAGTCGGGGTTGCGCACGAGGGTGGGTGGCACCGCCGCAGGACTCCAAAAAGAGCAGGTGGGAAAGGGCTGCTTGCAGCACGGTTTGCCGATGGCGCTGCCTGGCCTGCCGGCTTGTTAAACCCTCCCTCCCGTGCCGCGCGGCGGTCGGCGGCGAGGAGGCGGGCGGGCGGGCGGGCGACGCGGGGGGGATGCACAAACTGTTTAGCATTCAGGGCAGGCGGTGCACGCATTGAGGTGCCGACTAGACTGCGCGGTGCCCTTCCTCACCCTCGCCAGTTCAGCCAGGAGGCGCCCCCCACACACCCCAAACTCCAACACCAGCTCCGCGCGCCGCACGCAGGTGACGCAATCAGTGATGTGAGGGGCATTCAGCGTGGGAACATGGCGGCGCGGCGCGGCGCGAGGCCAACTTGTGACATGCCGAATGGGCGCGCTTTGCGCCGTGGCGTGGCGTGGTGGGGTGCGGGGTGCGGGACACCACCCGCCACTGCTGAACAAAATTGGGGAGATGAAGAGTAGTTGTGCGGAGGTGGCGGGCGGGTTCGCCCACACGCACACGGTCGAGGACAACACACCCCTTGTCTTGCAGCCAGCAGGGAGGGCACCAAAGCCACAGAGCAGCAGCGCCTCCTTGAGGGTAGGCAACAGAAAGAGTGAGAGACAGAGAGGGAGGGAGGAGAAGGGAACCTCCTCGAGCAAAGGGAAAAGGAAAGGAGGAAGGAGGTCCCCCTGTCCCCCCAACCCCACCCCCTCCACTACGCAACGCCACGCTTCCGAGGGACACGTCTAACTGTTTCCTGAAGTAGGCAACCCGCAACGCATAGCGCCGCACGTCACGGCAACAATGTAGTGCCGGGGGCCAGGTGCGGGGCCGGGGGGAGGGGACGCAATAAATAACTCTCACCGTTTCCCTGCCCCCCCCCTCACCTCCCTTCCTTTTCCACACACTCTTCTTATCCCCCACCCCCTCACTCACACACATATGCGTGTTCTGCAATGCAATGTGTACGCTCCACGGCGACGAGGAAGATCGTAAGCAAAAAGCTAACATTCATCCATCGCAGCAGTGCGCTTTGTATTAGGCAAGCCCTACGATTATCTCGACCAAATCACTTGCCTTGGGCACGTGTTACTCTGTACCAACGTTTACGTGCTCAGCTCACCCGTTCACCCGTTCATTCCTCTCCCGACAATGAGTGACCGCCGGACACTATCATCATACTACTACAGTCGGCGGAGAGACGCCGCGCCGCCCGCTGGCGCTGGCGCGCGGGGTATGTCCAGGACGCGTCCGACGGCCAGCCCGTCTCGAGGTGCCGGTGGGTCTGTCCAGCCCCGGGTACGTGACCACGTTGACCCCCCCGGCGCATCGCGAGTGTCAGCGCGAACGGCTAGGAGAGCGGTCCATGGAGACCCGCGTGCGGCTGGGCTTTGGGGG